TATGATTAACATCACTCACAGAATGCACTTTACTAAAGACCCTAAAATGTATAGCACGCTCTGTAATACGCATGGAAAATACAATCACAACCACTTTTGTCGTCAAAGTTGATGTTTTTTGTAATCCATCACAAATATAATTCTTGGCTCTTTAGATAATGAGAAACTGTGGCTACCCCACAGCCCATGTCTAATAGGATTTGTGGATTAAATCATGACGGATAGGAAGAGTTACGCTATATTTTGTTACCAGACAAATCTTGGCATTAAACGTATAACTACTTAAATGATTCCAGCGATATACGCTGGCCGACCAAATTGATAGCACTGTAGCTTTTCACCAAAAAGTACAAATTACTCTGCACATGAGTTAGAGGGCCCCGTGGATGGCAAACGTTACGTGGCTCCTTGGGCCGCTGGGGCTTGACAGCTCACTGGGAGTAAAAGCATGTGGTGCAGCAGGCCAGTGTAAACACCACCGTGCACAGTTGACAGCTGGTCCCACGAGTGCTCAGCGTGCTGTGCTCGCTGTACTGTATCGATTCCATAGATTCAACTATTGAGGTTTTCTTTCTTGGCGACCATTGGAACTCGCGGTCGGTCACAAGAGATGTTTCATTTTCTTGAAAAAATATTTATCGAAATTACTGCAATTAAATGGACTATAATTTATATGACTTTTAAAATATGCACTTTGTTTATAATAAAAGTCAACTTTGATTTTGCGTTTGGATTAGGCCCCGTCTCCACTTAAAGTTCGACCCAGTAGGGGGATTGAAAATAACTGTACATTCTAATTGTTTTAATATACATTTTAAATAACCTTTTATTTACATATAAAAGTTATAATTAACATGTACTGATATGCTGTAGTGGGAATATTTTGATATATAACTCTATTTTACAAATGATATATTTATCTCCACTGTAGGCGATTAGTGCAGCGTGGACATTACTTTGCCCAGGTCTGAAAATGTGATACGTTTGTATTACTGTCATGTGCTCAAGGTAGAAACCAGGACGATTAAACACATGGTACTTAAGCCATATATTAACCTAAAAAGTATATTAATTTCATGAATGCGATACCATAACCTTAATAAGCTGTATTGAATTTAATGAAACATTTGGAGCCATTAAATACAGGTTAATATCCATTAAGAGCAATGCGTTGGGTTATTTTAAATTATGCAGACACTAAATTAGTCAAATTCTTCGTGGAACTGCAGCTTGAGCAGGATATAAAATGTATAGAGATGCTAATGTACAAATACTGCGGACTGAAATGTTTGGGAGGTATCTTAGCTTGTGGAGGATTTATTTACTGCTCTTGAAACACACAACACGTGCCATGGGTGTATGCAAAACGCGCCAGAGTTTATTCAGCGAATGTGTTACAGCACAGCTCCAAAGGCTAAATGGGCTGCAAGGCCTGCGCTTACGTAAACAATGTCTCTTAAACACAAATACAGCCCGAGGTGGTTGGCTGTTGCTACAGCTTGGCCACGTTCATGACCCCCCCGGGCGCAGCCCTTCATTTCCTCCCAGGAAGACGTTATGGAGAATACCACCACAGCCTTACACAAGGAGCCACCTCCTACTAAGTATGCTTGCTTACGTGTGTGAAACGTCGTACAGTGCTCCATATTTTTTTGCACACAACCTATAGAAAGCTTGCACATTGCCGTAATGTATGCGTGCCTGCAAGTAGAGGGCCTGAATCAGAATCTTGATTTATCTTGGAAAAATCCGATGAGCTATGAGGCTCTTTTTAATAGATTTCCAGTATTTTTCAGAGATGCCTGTGTGCTTGAGGGATGTCTATGGTTTAACCGTGATGCTCAGGTGGATTTGAAGAATGGGATTGCTCAGTCTTTCCTTTAACGTTTTACTAGCAGTCAGACAGCGACAATGATGGAAGCGACTAAAGGGTTTAAACTTTCACGGTGAGGAATCAAACCCCATTATGCTGGACAAAGCATGCACTGTGTCGGCCTTTACAGCACTGTGGCTTCCCGCCACAGGCCACTCAGTGATATCATCAAATGCATCACCGATAACAGTTCCGTGTTAAACATTAGGAAAACACTGAAGCTCGGCGTTTTGATTTGAAACATCTTTGTGGCAGCTTGACACAGGGGCACATTGTCCAGAAAACATTTAAATAGCAGGAGTCTCAGAATTTCGACTTGCCACTTACAATGAAAACAGGCTTGTCATCCACATGCCTGCAAGTAGCAATTAAATAACTTTTGTTCAAAAATAACATTGAAAGGTTTTTCGATTATTCCGTGCAAATGTCTCAATGTTGTTCATGGTAAACTTTAATCCGAAATTGGCCAGAGTGTTGCGGTGTCTTTTAACAACACATTGCCATACATAAAAAATACATTTTCTTTTTATATTGCATCAAAACCTTGTGTTAGACAGCTTTAACCTACGACTGAGTTTGGGTGTTTCACTGGATGGTTTCTAGCGAGTGCTTGTAGCTATTTTTCATGGTTACCGTTAAGCTGACACAAAAACACACACACACATGTTACCAGTCTGCTTCCGTAAATAAACTAAAGTGCATTATTTCCAAATGTTTGTCTTTAGTGAAATGTGACTGTTTTGTTTGATTTACGCCACTTTTTTTTACCAGAGTTTAAGAAATAGTTCCAATGAAAATGTCTATAAAATATAATGCAGCGAGTGCTTAACACGTGCATTGAATGTGGCTTTGTTATTGCTACTGTGGCAAGACTGAGTGGTCAATGGGTCCCCAAAGTTCACAGTTTGGGCCTGAACTTGACCTTTTCGGAAAAGTGTCAAAGCACAGCATAAGAAGTGCATTGTCTGCTCTCTTCAAGAAGTTTAAGATCCCACGACACTGGGCAAGAATAGCACACTGCGCATTGTTGTCATGGGACTCATTGCTATGGGAAGCATTTCATTTATAAATAAGATGGGTGAAGAGTTATGTTCATCGTACCTTAATTTACGTAATAATATTTCCAGCTTGTTTGCTTTTCAACGTATCCTTGCATGGTTGCTATGAAAGCATATTGCAGAGGATCTATAAAATAGCAGTTGGCTTTAACGGTGGCATCCGCATAATAAATAAACTTTGAACATTTTTTTTTTTAACACAGGTTTTTGCAGCCAATGCTATGATTCAGATCATTACGTGGCCAAACCAAAGAAGACATTATCAATCCTACATTTTTATTTCGGTATTTTATTTGAATTTACTCTTGCATCGCTTCTTAATAAAAATAAAATGATCCAGTAAAACGCAGGATATAAAAATGTAATAACCTCAACATAAATTGTTAATGTCCTTTACAAATGCATGCATGTACTGCAAGTCCCACTCCCCGCTGCACACACGGCCTGCTTACCAATGCAGCTTTGCCGATTGCATCCATTCTTTTGGCGAAACACATTTCTCCCGCATATCACACTTTTTTTTTTACTCAAAATTTTCCACGTAATGTTTACTTTGAAGAAATAACAAAAAATTGCAAACATTTCCCTAACTGTTGTAATCAAAGCTAAAACATAGTTATACCAAAAATGAGAAATATGACAGTACAAATAACACACGTGTCCACTGAAAATAACAACCAAGCAGTTATTCAGAAAACAGGATTTCTGTAAAAATACCTTTCATGTGATTGTTCATCATAATCAGCTTTATGCCTACAGTGATATTATTCAGCTAACCGTAGCAGCTATTGAATTACTACTGTATATCTACGCATGTTGTAGGAAACAGCCAATGTGAATATCATGAATCCCATTTCTGAACAAAATATATTCAATATCGTAATCCGTAAGCGAGTGTTAATTTGGCAGTCGTGTCACAGTTTGTGAATTAAAAACCAACCCTCCATTTATACACGCGTGTTTTCACGCTTGCGTATAACGTTTATATCGGGCATACAATGAGTGTTTGTACACTTGTTGGACTAAAATGTAATTCATTGTGATCATATGTCATGAACTAAAATGTCCGAGAAGAAAAGTTCATGATTGTTTACAGAGCGTTTCGTCACAGCTGGTTCATTTTTTTCTATTTGGAATGCTGCGTTGGCAGCTGAAGGGGGGTGCCCGACATTGATGAAAGGGGGGCTCAAGCTGTGCAATCCCTTCTATTAGCAGACGTCGTATTGCAACAAGGCTAAGGGTGGGCACACACACAGTGGACTTTTTTAGCCTGCGTTAAGTATAATGTTCACACCATCGCCACGGTGGAACTTAACGTTCAGGTCACGTGATGCATGACGATTACTGCAGACCCCTTGGGCTCTGTGCCCCCCTTTGCTCCACCCAAACCTTTATTGGCTGTCAATTCACTTAACGTTCATGTCAACTTTGAAAGTTCAACCTAGCGAGTTACAGTATATTGCCCGAAAAATCCTTACACACCTGTGATGTCACTTAAGGGAGGCTAATGTGGCTGTGTTTTTTCATCGTGTTAACCCTCTTTAACTGGTGAAGCAGTATTCTCTTTTGTTGCGTAAATATTATTTGGCCATAAATATCAAAATTGACAAATAGCTCTTAAAATGACAAGAAATATATTGCAATGTTTTGTCTATATGTAAACTCTCGTGACCGATATGATTCATAATTGGTTTCTTTTGGATCGGATCATGAAGGTACAAGGTCAATTAAAGCTATACTCATCCACCACCCAACAAAGCCAAACAAATAAAGTTTCTACGTTTGCAAATGTGTCAATTTATATTTGTTTATCAGCAAACCAGCACGTTGAATACCAAAGCGTGTTGTACACAATTGTCAGTGTATTTCCTGTTGCAGCTTATGCGTTTATTGTGTTTTTTAATGATGTTGTTATATATGTATTGTACTCAATTAATGGTTTATATTGTCACGTGGTTTGCCATTGTAAGAAAATAGTTTTAAAACATTTGGGTAGATACACATCCTATAATATTTGACCGGTAATGGTGCTCATCATTCCTTAACTTTTTTGTCTTTCTATACTTTAGGTTTGGGAAAACAATAATCAGAAGCTGATGTGCTGGAGAAAAGAAGAGGGGCAGTGGTAGCACGACGCAAGAGGTGACCATGAGTATTACGTATGACTCCGGAGGGGGCATTGGAGGAAACAGGATTAATAGACTGGAGCGAGAGGAATGCACCCTACGAATCTACCCTGGCGTCATCTCAGAAGACACCATCTACTGCCCCGTGCTGGCGCAGCGTGGGACCACGGCGGCCGAGGTGATCCAAACTCTAATCGAGAAGCTGCACTTGGAGCGGGGAACCTGCTACGTCCTGGCTGAGGTGAAGGAGTCGGGCGGCGAGGAATGGATCCTGAATCCCACGGACTGCCCCGCGCAGCGCATGCTGCTGTGGCCGCGCAGGGCGCTGGACGAGCAGTGTCAGCCGATGAAGTCGCGCGAGGACTACCGCTTCCTGCTGCGCGAAAAGAACATGGATGGCTCCATCCGTTACGAGGGTCCCCTGGACTCGTGGATGAAGGTGACGGAGGAGCGGCGGCGCATGGTGGAGCGCGGGTTTCTGCCGCAGCCCCTGCAGCAGGACTACGACGACCTGTGCCGCCTGCCAGACCTCAACGAGCGCACACTGCTCGACAACCTGCGCGTGCGCTTCAAGCAGGAGAAAATCTACACGTACGTCGGCACCATTCTCATCGCGGTGAACCCCTTCAAGTTTCTGCCGATCTACAACCCGAAATACGTACAGCTCTACGACAACCACGAGTTGGGTAAGCAGGAGCCGCACATCTTCGCCGTGGCCGACACGACCTACCACGCGATGCTGCGCCAGAAAACCAACCAGTGCATCGTCATCTCGGGCGAGAGCGGCTCCGGAAAAACGCAGAGCACCAACTTCCTCATCCACCACCTCACGGCGCTCAGCCAGAAAGGATACGCCAGCGGTGTGGAGCAGACCATCCTCGGAGCAGGACCTGTGCTTGAGGTAAGTCACAAGCTCTTTGGAGATTATGGAGCACCAATTTATGCAAATTGCACGTATGGTTTGTATGTATGTATTTGTATATATGGGTCGCGGTAGTGTAGAGGTTAGCGCACTGCGCTATGAACCCGGCTTCCCGAGTTCGATTCCCGCTCAAGGCCAACACCAGTGATGATTATCTGAACTGTTCTTGGGCCTCCCCTAGGTCGGCTCAGGCTCAAATGAGTATTGTGGTGCGGTTTTTAAAATATTTCCATGAGGGAGACAAAGGCGGCCTTGCGTGGTGCTAGCCACCCACCCCCTTCGTGTGCCATGCTGGCCTTCATAGGTGCTATACGCTAACAGCACTTGCCCCAACAGTTTGTCAAGGTTATGGAGGTGCGGGGGAAGGACAACAAACAACATAAAATGCAGTTCTTAAGAAATTAGTTTTCAATCTAGAATTAAAAGTGCATAGCTCCAGTGGCTTCCTGATATTGGAAGGAGAGCATTCCAGACGGCCGGAGAAGCGCATCTGAAATCGCGCAATGCAGTGGTCGTCTTTGTTCGAAGGTTATCCAAAAACGTCCACACTTAAATCCAAACTTGCCACTTTACAGTAATTTAGGAAATGTGCTACTCTGTTTTTGTCATTATGACAATAAATCCCAACCAACATTTGTAACCACAGAATCTGCTGATGTAATTAAGCCCCGCCCTTCCTCCCCCCCATTCATCTTGGGGTTTTGGAGGCTGTGGTCTGAGATAGTAAATCAGAGGAACGGGCTCTGCCACTGCGCCGACTGAAACCTGCTTTGAGTTCCCACTAGTGCCTTTAAGTAAAACGTATCAATGATAACTCAATCTTGGCTCATTTATCATTATCATCATCATTCATTCACCGCTGGATGAAGGCCTCCTGAGTGAAGTCCGTCACGATCCCGTCCCGTCCCCTCCATCATCCCTTCCTGAAACGTTTCTTGCTCAAGCCCACTTACTTTTCTTAACAGTGGATGTGATGTATTTAACTCGTGATCTCTACTCTGAATTCCTATTGTAATAGCTTAGTGTAATTCAATCATCTACCTCACCATTCTTCTTTGTGTATTCTTCAGCTTTCATTCCATTTTGCTTGTCATGTCCACGTTTCTGATTCATTTTTCTTCGAGGATGAGTGACCTTGAAGTCTTGGTTGCAGAACACAATGGACACTTTTAAAGTCGCATTTGCCAAAAAAGATGCCTTTAACAAACTTTGCACTCCAAGATTTGCGTCTTAATAAATGTGAGAGAAAAAAGCGTGGCCATAAAACAACTTTTTCTGCAAAGAGCAAATGTCAAGTGGCCTTGCCTCTGTCATCAGCCAAGGGATGTGTTTCTTGCAGAGCTCTAGTCCTGATCATTATCTTCACCTTCACCCAAACCCTACACGGAGCATTATTTTACTGCCTGTCATTTTATCACATCCTTATCTGTCAAAATTATGTTTTTTTCTTCTTAAATATTTCACTGAATATCCAAAAGTCAGCAAGTGACGTGCGGTAAGAGCTTGCAAGGTTTGAAAAATACACTGCATTTTTCCCACATGTCAGTCAGTGTTTTTTTTCTATTAATTAAACAATGCATTGGACATATGAACAATGTAAGGTTATATTAATCAAATGCTTCTTGATACCGTAACCTGGAGCCATGGAAAAAGTATAATTGCGTTTCTGGTTTTTTTTGTTACGCTTTCCAACTAAGGTTAAATGCATCAACTTTTTCTGTCTGTCTGAAATGCTATAGAATACCAGCCAAAGTGATCAAAGGGGCTGCTCAAAACTTGCAGGCAAAAAAATAATTGCTTAAAGGATTTGCTGCAATATCTGTGTCTTGAATTAACTGTGCAACGAAGAAATATGTTTTTCAAACGGCATGTAAAGATGTGTAAATAGCAGCATACAGCCTTTGCAGATGTATGCATAACTTATACAGGTAGGAACAACAGTTCCACACTGCCCACCAGGGATTATTTGTCTGTCAGTGCATAGCCCCTCCCAAACATGTACGCTCCCGGATTGGTTGAAGTGTGTCACGTGATCGCGAACTTTCTCTCGTGCACGAATGCGCTGTCCAACCAAGTTCCTACCTGCCCACTCCGAAGGAACGTGTTTTGGTACCTGGAGGTCACCATCAAAATTTACGTGAGGAAATGTGACTTTTGACTGAGAGACAGCTGTGGACCAGTTTTGTCCTGATCAACACCCATCAATACAGTAAAGTTACCAAAGCTCACTGCTGGAAATATCTGCCTTTGGAAACCGTACACGTGGAGTCGTCCCCAACATCTCTACACTGTGGGGGGCCCATTAGCTCGGCTAATGCCAACTATGATCAAATCGGTAAACGACGAGAAAAGCACATCTTTACACTCTTAGTTCTTTCGGTAAAGTCACGTAGGTAAAAAATGAAATTAAAATTAATAAAAATAAAACAATAAAAATCACGACGTTTCGGAGGCAACACAAGTCTCCGTCATCAGGTGGGACCATCACAGCCAGATTTGCTGCATCACTTGATGCAGCAAATCTGGCTGTCACTTGATGCAGCAAATCTGGCTGTGACGGTTCCACCTGATGACGGAGACTTGTGTTGCCTCCGAAACGTCGTTATTTTTATTGTTTTATTTTTATTAATCACTTTTTATTAATTTTAATTTCATTTTTTACCTACGTGACTTGACCGAAAGAACTAAGAGTATGAATCCTTGCAGTCACGAAAGCTTCAAATCTAGAATCACATCTTCACATTTATCAACTTGATTATTGGCCAATGAGAAGACAGGTTGAGGAAGCATTCTAGACCAGGCTATCATCAATTGTGTTGTAACAGTCTTTTTAACTGGAACGTACTTACACAAAGTGTATTGGAATGCAGGGAAATACATCACTTTCCCCTTAACTATTGCACTAATTAGCTGGGGATGGACATTTGTGATGTACGGACTCTTTATAATTGACACTTCCTCACTTGATATTCGAGACACTTCCATGCCGATGCAAATTTTCTTGATATAATTCAACGTGAAGTGGATTAAATATGTAAAGCAAATAGCCCCCAATCGTGATGAACATCTGATGACACAATGTTTCTCGACGTTATATCCATTGCGCAATGCAGATAAGGTAATTGGTTTTCAAATAATTTAACAGTCTGCTGCTAAATGACTTTACCGAAGGTGAAACTTCAACAGATGCTTGCTCATAGCATTTCTCCGCAAGGTTAAGTAAGAACACATGTAAATAATTAACCTTATTACGTATAATATATCATGTATGTATATGAAACATAATAATTAATCCTGACTTATATTTACACATCGCACATGCACGTGAGCTATATATATATACAGTGTTAACGATTGCAATTTGACTTTTTCTGTTAAGTTTAAAAGTTGAAACGTAATCTATCACACCTATGTGTACGGGTGAGAAAATGTTAAATTAGTTACCAAAATGTAGAGGAACGACGTCTCATGATCCATTCGCGGGCCTGGGCCAGCAATGCCTCGCGTGTTTACTTGTGGGTTTGGTTGCCTGCCAGTACGGAACGAGGTTGTGTTTTTTCCAGTGAACTGTTGTCATTACTGGGTCCGTTAAAATGGGAACGAGATAAATTGTATTCTCGTTAAATTCCAAGTGACAAGACCACAAATCAATGTTGAAGAGCATCTTATGAAGCGGGAAAGCGATAACCTGTCGCACCGAAAAAAAATTCCCTTCCATAAATTACGCATTCGTGGTTTTTAGTGTTATGTAGATTTTCTACGTGAATGTTTCCTTGTTAGGCACAACTAACAAGGAAGGCAGGAGTACTGTTCTTGCAGTTTCACATTGCATGTCAGGTGTTGTGAATGCAATCATCCAGACTCTCAAGTTGAGTGTGTCCGGCTCACCAGATTGTGGCTGAAAAACACAGGTAACCCCCTTCATTTGGCTGATTACGGCACTGTGTAACCGTATTTGTGCAGAGTGGCCACGTTATGCTGTGGTTGTGAAGAAGCTCATCACTCTCAACACACACGGAGTGTGGTCCTGAGGCCCCCCTCGGTCGACTCAGCCACCCATGAGTACCTCGTGTGGCGTGTAAACATCACCACTGGGGAGACAAAGCAGCCGGGCGTGATGTTGGCCACCCACCTCTATAAAGGCCGTGCCGGTCATTGCCGGCCTTTATAGGTGCTCGCGAACAGCACTTGCCCAAACAGTCTGTTAAAGAGTCAACAGCGGTTGTCCAAAAGATACTTTTGCCCTTGCCATAGGAATGTTGAAATTCTACCACTGCCATGTTCTTATTGATCAGTTGGTCACTTGGAGTTTCATGAATGAACTAACTGAAGTTGAATTTAAAGATGTATTGGGAATGTCTTTTTATGAATTCCAATATGCACGTACAAATAATATATTGAAGTAAAACAATCTCAGCGCCGTATTTGTACATCTCATATCATGTGGTGTTTAATGTCGCTTTTAGAATTCATGACAATTTGGTTTTGAGCCTTCAACATTACTCAGCGATTGGCTCTCATTTATGCTGATTGCTAAGGCTATTTGACTGTCCTATTCTAAAGTGACCTTGAGGCTAAAGCTTTGCATTCATAATGCAGAAGTTCAGGAATTCTTCAGAACCATCAGAGAAATGCCCATTGCTGATCTCGGAGTAGAAGTCACTCTTGTTGAACGCTTAACAATTCAAGGAATGGAATGTGAGACGTGTGAAGTATATACGTGTAGCCAAGATGCCAAAAAATAAATGACGAAAATGTTAATCCATTACCTGGAATTGACAGTTTCAAGTGTGACGAGTGATTGTTGAAGTTTGGCTGCAAACATTTTACAGAGCAACTGGATGAGGCCCATACTGGAATTTCAAGTTTCAAACAATGAGACCTTGTCTCCGATTGCTTAACCTCCTCTCACGCCTTGTACATATACGATATGTTCATTCTTTTAGGACATCCACAGTTATGTGCTAAATATGATAGGT